ATAATAATAATAATAATATATTTTAGCTAATAAGCCAAAAATATGTGTTATAATTGGTTTAACCCTTTCTAGACCAGCAAATAATTGCAAGAAGTGTAGCGGTTTGCACATCTGTTTGCCAAGCAAAGGGTTTTTGGTTCAATTCCAACCAGAGACACAAACCCTTCCTGGGGTCAGGGTTTGCATTAAACATGTGAAGCTAAAAGTAGCAAAAGTAAAATAAGCACACTAATGTACTTTCAAATTATGTGTAGCTCAGGTGATCTACAGTACACTGCTACTTTACACCAGTGGTGGTGAAACCTCTAGCAAAGGAAAAAAACGAATTATGCTCTCCGTACTCCAGTTTTTACCACTCATTACAATAAAAACACAGGATCCAAGTTAATCTAGTTGTTCATTAGAAAAGAACAACGATTACATTACAATTGGCAATTTGTTATTAGATCTGTCAAAAAGGACGTATTTAGTGTTTTACACAAATGTGTAAACCCTGGGACGACTGTAACGTTTAGTAAAATGCTTCTGCGCGAACGTTCAGGGGACAGACACCATCTTTACTTTTAAGATTAGACTTAAAGCTAAATCTGAAAGGACTGTGATCCTGAAGTATCCCTTGGTTATGCTGAAGCAAGCTCAAACTGCAGGGGGACTTCCCACAGGTGCTTATATGCCACGGCTGCATGCCTTTACATTGTGTCATCTCTCTCCCATAGTTTGTGTTTTTTCCTGTCTTCCTCTTTCCCAATACAGCTGCTCCTCCCTGAGCCTGGTTGTGCTGGAGATTTTTGTCCTCTTAAAAGGGAGTTTTTCCTTCCTGGCGTCATGTAGTGCTTGTTCATAGAGAATCATATGACTGTTGGGGTTTTCGGGTCTTTACGTTAGAGTAAAAAGAACCTTGAGGCCTTGTTATGTTGCCAAATGAATAAACTTGAACTGAATGAAAAATTCAGATGGATCTAATTGCTTATTATTATTATTTTTTTATTTAGCTTCCATTTGGCAAACCATTAAGACCATTTTCTTCTACTATATTAAAGAAAATTGAGATTTCTCCTTAAATCTATTGAAACAACATTCCTGTTAGGTTCTAATGTAAACCACTGGAATGTATCTGTGGTTTTTGGTCTCCATGGTGTGGAGAAAAACACTTTATATGATGTCATGCAAAAGTCTCCTGACTGCTACCACAAACATATGGCCAGAAATTCCAGACAAGAAGGAAATGTTGAGCCTATGACTACATATAGCATTTGGCCACAATTAAAAAGAGAGAAAAAAAAGGTTTTCTGCTTGTTGGGACAGGGTGTTCAGGTAGACCGTGCAAGAATATTCCAGTTGTCCTTGTAATTCACTGCTACTTAAGCCTGTTTTTTAAAAAGAGGTTCTCGGTTTGAAACATCCTTAGAAATTTTCCATCAAAGGGAGGTCAGGAGGTCACGACCGTAGCCACTGTGTTGGTATTCAAACAAAAACTGTGGCACATGTATGGACTGGTCGCAAAAAGAGTACACCAACACCAAATGCATTCAGTAGAAAATGTGTTTCTGAAATTGTGGGAAAGTACCGGAATGCTATAAAAAGGATCTGATTCTGAGAGAAAAGCAGGACGTTGTTTGGTCAGAACATGAGGTGGTTTTGCCACCCTTTGGCAAATTCAAGAACTACAGGCGAATATCTGCAGCGCAGAACATGAATGAGATGCACATCAATTTTATTTTGCGGGTTGCATTTGAGAATTGTAAGGAATGCGGTGCCATTTAAGCAAGACCCATAACCTGAAAAAATAAATAGATAAAATAATGAGTCACGCTTTATAAGATTATAGTCGCCAAACAAAAGCACAGAGGCATCAAGAGACTTACTGAAAACATCCAGTCTTCAAAGGAAGAGACTCTGGTGAAGACAGTGGGTTTGAACACTTGGTTGCACATACCAGATGGGCCGTAACTGACAACACCGTGAACTCTCCAGGCTCCATCAGTAAAGCAGTTCAGAGGACCTCCAGAGTCGCCCTGGGACAGAAAACAATAAGAACATAGCATGCAATGACTGTGAGAACGTCTTAACACAGTATTGTTGTTAACAATATGATAGTAATATTAAAATTAGCTCAGTCTTTACTCTTGTTTTAGAAAAAAAATAGTTGCAGCATTAGGCGAAACCTCCTCTACCTGGCAGCCTGCTATGATCCCATCCCCTCCGGCACACACCATGGTTTCCAGAGCAATGCTGCCCCACCACTCTGGCTGGGAGCAGACCGAGTGCTCCACCACATTGATGGGAGCCACCTGTAGGATGGCAGGGCTACCTCCATCTGATTCAGTGGAGAAAGAATGCAGGAACCTTTTTATTACATCCACATATGGTGTGTGTATTTGTGTACATTTAGCACCCAGGTGTACTCACAGTCTACTAATCCCCAGCCGGTGATGTAACAGGTGAAGCCATGAGGCAGTGTCTGGTCCGGGTAGGGGAGATTAGCTATAGCCACATAACCACTGTCATAGATGGGACCAGCGAGTCTCAAGAGAGCAATGTCATTTCTAAGAAAAAATAACCAAAGATAGAGTTGTATAATTTTAATAGCTGCTTGTTTGCTGAGATTAACATTTCATATTTAAATGAGGCTTAATTAAGAGAGGTGATCTGACATGCTGCCACTTACCCATAACGAAGATCACCATTCCAGCCAGGATGGACTGTAATTTTTTCCACATGGATGAACTGCTCACTGCCTTCTAACTTATACAGGTCATACTCACCCACCACAACACGGTACTGACTAGCATCTGGGCTGAGAAGGACATGGAAAAAAATAAGTACAGTGCTTACTTACACTCTTTTGTTCAGCCCAGGAAACACCAAGATAGACTTTAAAATATTACAAAATGCACAAAAGAAATGGTGTTATTAAGAATAATCATGGTCAGAGCCCAAACCTGAGGATGCAGTGAGCTGCAGTCATGATGTGGAAGCTATCAACAACAGATCCTCCGCACATGTGGTAGAATGAGCCATCATAGAATTGATCATACTGCACAGAAACCTGTGAAATATTAAAGAAATATGAAAATATGGTGGAGATGGAGGTTTTTTTTTTCTAAATCTAGTATTTTAAAACTACAGTACAAAACCTATTTGCATCAAAAGATAGAAAAATAAAAAGATAATTAGTGTTCAGAGGATTTACCTGCCATTTCCATGTGTTTGGTTGAGCATTATTGCCGCCTATCACCCTCTCATTGTCAACTTTGTAGTTGAGAGGTTCTTTGGCACAAATCAGTCCTTCAGCACACACATGGACAGATGTGGTAATATAGTTTTAACGTTCAGAAAATGTAGGCACAGAAAATTATTTAAGTCAGGTGGGCTTACCAATACAGGACAGAAGAAGCACAAGCCACATCATGTTGGAGCACTGATGACAAGCTGCAGTTTGCTTTTATACCCATTTGAGATTGGGAAACCGGGCAGATGTTAAGTTACCAGCCAGTATCAATAGTCCATGTGGATCAATTCACATTAAATGTACTGCTATGAAAAGCTGAAAGTTTGAGAAGTGTGAGACAATTCACCACTGTGTGAAACTCTTACAAATCCAGAATTATGTACATTTGCATTTCATTCAACTCAGAAAACTTTAAGGACAACAGAACTTTATTAATTAATTAATTAATTAATTTTATCATGGTGGGAAAAGAACAGGTGCTGTCTAGTGATGGCAGAGTCGACCAAACCATCTGTGAAAGGTGTGCTTTCAAGACAAATATTACAGCAGATAAAAGTCTGAAATGATCGACAGCCAAGGCAAAGAAGAAAATGTTCCGCTGCCTTCTGTCTGTAAACTGTACACTCAACACAAAAACAGACAAAAGCAGAATATTTATTGAAAAGTTTAATCATAATTCAATAAAATACACATGTGTATTCATTATAATAAAAAAAATGTACAGTATAACTACCGTATACAAAAGTGTATACATGAGTTCTTTTTCTTCTGCTTATCTAATTCTGGGTCATAGGGGAATTAGAGCCTATCCCACTTGTTATGGAGCAAAAGGCAGAGTACACCCTAAATGGATCAGTCTATCACAGAGATACAGACGTCCATTAACAGTCACATTCACATCTATGGATCTAACTCAATACATGTATTTGGACTATGAAGCCAGGGTGCCCACAAGCATGCAACCTCACATGACCTTCTTGCTGTGAGATAACAATGTTGACCATCACGATGTTGCCGTTTTTATTTAAAGATAGAATAAATATATAAATGGCTTCTCCATCTTCAAAGGAAAGATGCCATACAAAGTTAATTGCATCGTTCTTGAGGTTCACTGTAAAAATGTTTTTTCTTTGTTTTAGACTTAAATAAAATATACCCTCTCTCTCTCTCTCTCTCTCTCTCTCTCTCTCTCTCTCT